GCAGGACAGACCACAGACATCAGCATGCCCCCCACTGCTGCTGCCTGGGTCACAGACACATCATAACCTCATAACCATGTGTGGGAGCACAGGCCGCTCACAGCAATATGACCCCCAGTGGCAGCTCAGTCCAAGGACAGCAACGTGGCTTCAGGCTGCAGCACAGACCGCAGACATACTCATTGGTGGTAACAAAGGCCACGGGCGTCAGTAAAGACCACAAGCGCAGTAGGACCACAGACACAGACAGGGCCCTCAGCAGGAGGACATAGACATCAACATGGTTTTAGGTGATAGGGCCAGGGACATCAACACAGCTCCTGGCTGCTGTAGGGTGTGTGTGTGTGTGTGTGTGTGTGTGTAGGATATATAATGGACATATATATGCATAATATATATATATATAATATGTATGTTTATATATACACATATTTATATGTATCAGATAGCTCTGCATGCAAATATTCATTACAGTGAGTTTTTGGTTTCTTTCTTTACTTTTTCTTTTCTTTCTTTCTTTTTTTTTGTTTTTTGTTTTTTGTTTTTCGAGACAGGGTTTCTCTGTAGCTTTGGAGCCTGTCCTGGAACTAGCTCTTGTTGACCAGCCTGGCATTGAACTCACAGAGAGCCTCCTGCCTCTGCTGGGATTAAAGGCATGCACCACCACTGCCCTGCTGGGTTTTGGTGTCATTAACACTGGACCGTTGCTGAGACTCGTCTCAGATGTCCTGCTATTGCCAGAGTCATGGTGATCCTGCAGCTTTGGTTCCGCATGACTGGCTTCTTCATGCACTCCTGCAGTTCCTAGATGGGGTAGATGTTGGGATGCGCCGACTCAAAGTGCTGGGTCTGAGCCCGGATGGTAGCTGAGTTGGTCAGCTGCTGCTGGCTCGGAGCCCAGGCATCTTCTTAATTAGTGGTTGATGCGGGAGGACTCAGGCCATTGTGGGTAGACCCATCCTTGCTGGTTCTGGGGGCTATAGGAAAACAGGCTGAGTAAGCCACGAGGAGCAAGCCAATAAGCAGCACTCCTCCATGGCCTGTGCATCAGCTCCTGCTTCCATGTTCCTGCCCTCACTGCTTCTGACGATAAACTGCTGTATGAAAGTGTAAGCCAAATAGGCCCTCCTGCCCAGTTGCTTTTTATCGTGGTGTTTCATGACAGCGACACTAACCCCAACTAAGGCAGACAGTAAACCACACCGTCCAGTGTGCTTTCTGCAAGGGGCATCTTCCAGCCTGACAGGAAATGCGTAATAAAGATGGAAAATTAGGGTTTCGTAAGAAGAACAAGACAGAAGTCAGGACATCCCTGATTCTTGTGGACACCTGGGTTACAGACACGGAGCCAGAAGACCCCCCCACCCATGGCCAGACTGTCCCACAGAGAGACGAGTAGAGTTGTCCTCCCTGTCTGGTTTCTGCCTCTTGCCTCTCCTGACACCAGGGTCCCGTACTCTGCTGTTGTGTATGGGTACCTGTGTCATGTGTGATTGCGGAGCTGTGTATGGGTACCTGTGTCATGTGTGATTGTGGAGGCCGAAGGAAGCCTTTCGCTGGATGTCCTATGTAGGCGGAGTCTTCCTGTCCCGACTGCCTGCTCCCAAATAACTGGCAGCTGCTTCCCAAATAATTGACTCAAAGACTTAATATTAACTCGAAATGCTCAACCGGTAGCTCAGGCTTATTACTAACTAACTCTTACACTTTAAATTAACCCATATTTCTTATCTACCCTCTGCCACTTACTACCTTATTTTCTACACGTCCTGTTTCCTTTGAGCCTGCTGGCGTCTCTCTCAGCTCTGTCCTTCTTCATCCCAACATCCTTAGTTTGGTCACTCCACCTATACTTCCTGCCTGGCTATTGTTAGACCCCAGCCCTCTAACACCCTATATCCAAGGAGTCTGGGATGAATGACTGGAAGCATCACCCCAGCCCCTGGCCTGGCAGTTGCCCTGGTCTGGACTCCAACTCCCAGTCTGCCAAGTGCTGGCCCCTCCCACGAGGAGGATCAAGACCACTCCCACAGGCTATTTAGGCTCGTGTCAGAAAAAGGAACACATGGTTTCGGATTTGCGTGGGCTCCTTTTCCTGCCATGCTGTCTCAGTTCACCCAAGAGTGCTGCATTTATTAAACACGGGCATTTTAGTTAGGTCTAATCTGGTTTGATTGGAGTTCTTTACCCCGGCGGAGCGACTCGTGTTAAGATTAAACCAAACAGCTATGGCCAAGCAGCGTTATATTAAATCAATTTGAACGACAAATCTTTACAGCGTACAGGAGGATTGCTCCACAACAGCCCTACTCTGTCGCTGCTTGTCTCTTGAGACAGGTCTCTCACTGAACCTGGAACTAAGCTGGCAGCCATCTTCCTGTCCCCACCCCCACAGTTCTCAGGTTATAGGCACGTGTGCAGCCATGCCTGACCTTTTATAAAGGTGCTAGAGATTCTAAACTGTTCCATCCTGGAAGGGCCCGAATGTTCTAGAAGCTGATTGCCAGGTTAGCTATCTCACCTGTGTGAGCATGCACGCATGTGTGGCATTGTGCTAAGTCTTCAGCCACGTGCTGCTGCTGTGGGTGTGCATTGGGAGTCTGTGCCCATCTTGATGCTTGGTTTGGCCAAAGCTGGGCAAAGGAAACAGATAGGACATATGACCTCCTGGGCACTGCCATCTGCTGGAAACATTGAGAACTACAGGCAGACAGCCTACAGGGTCCTTCATAGGCTCTCCTGGATCCTGTGAGAAGTCCAACAATCCTTTCTGCCTGCACCCCTCAGCAGAAAATAGAGTCCTCCATCATACGCTACAGTTCCTAGGGGATTAAGTAACAATTCAAAGAGCTGTTGTTTTTCAAAAGCGTAATACAGAGGCTTTGCAACGGAAAACAACTAGATTAAGCTTCTAATAAGTATTTCTGTATGCTAATATGTACATGTTTGCCTATGTGAGTACTTGTGCACATGTGTGCCCATATGTGTGGTTAAAGGCTAGACTAAAGGGTAACCTCCTGTCTCATTCCCAGCGACTCTCCACCTTGTGCTTCTTGAGATACCGTTTCTCACTAACCTGGAGATTGCTGGCTCCGCTAGGCTAGCCAGTGGATTCCCAAGGATCCTTTCTGCCTCGCCAGCACTGAGGTGACAGACACATGCCACCGTGCCTGGCTTTGATTTTGCTGTTGTTTTATTTTTATTTTTTAAACATGGGCTCTGAGAATCAATCTCAGAGTCCCAAGGAAAGCATTTTCCCAGTCCAGCTCTCTCTTAGGGGGCCTGTAATGGTGACTCTTGACTGCCACTTTAATGGAATTTAGAATCATCTAGGACACGAGCCTTTGGGCATGCCTGCGAAGACATGTTCAGGGAGGTTTAACAGGGAGAGAAGATCCTCTCTGAACATGGGCACAATCCCATGGACCCGTGGCCTAAATTTTATAAAGGAAAGGTGACCTGCTGACTCACGCTCCTGCTGCCTCGCCTTCTTCCCCGCCACGATGGACCGCCTGCCTTGGCACACCAAGAGCCGAAAGGAAGCCTTCCTCGAGTTCCTTTGGTCAGGTGTCCTAATGGTGACAAGGAAAGGCACGCACACACCTGGGCCAGTGCACCTCTAAGGGGTTCTGCTTAGTCTGCATCATCGCGAGATGCCTGAGGGATAGTTTGCTTATAGAAATGCTGCTTCCAAGCATCATTTACAAAGCTTTGTTGACACACAGGGAACAAAACTACCCGGCCACACAGAGTGTGCTGGATGAAGCTTTTATTCAGGGATAATGGCAGGATGTCATGGGAATGAGCGGTACAAGAAAGGACACTATATCTCAGCAGGATGTCCAAGGGCCAACCAGCGGTCACAGCGACAGAGAACTGCTAACCAGCGGTCACAGTGACAGAGAGAGAACTGCTAACCAGCGGTCACAGCGACAGAGAGAGAACTGCTAACCAGCAGTCACAGCGACAGAGAGCTGCTAACCAGCGGTCACAGCGACAGAGAGAGCTACCTTTACAGTCTTGACCATCCTTATCCAACAGGTACAGGCTCCCCTAGTGTGCTAGGTGTGCAGGTAAGCCTGGATGCCTACATCTGTACCTACTCACCATCCTTTTTATTTCCTTTTCTTTGTTCATTCCTTCCTTTTCTTTCCTTCCTTCCTTCCTTTCTTGCATTCTTTCTTCCTTCCTTTCTTGCTTTCTTCCTTCCTTCCTTTCTTTTTTTGAGACAGGGACTCCCTGTGTGACTCTGGATGTCCTGGAACTCACTATGTAGACCAGGCTGACCTTGAACTCTGTTCAGAGATCTGTCTGCCTCTGCCTCCCCAGTGCTGGGATTAAAGGTGTGCACCACCACACCAGGCTTTTATTTATAATCTTTTAAGGGGTCTTTTGCCTCCTGATTCTTCCTTCTGCTACCTTGGGAGCAACTGAGTGGGTAAGGTATCATTCACACACACAGAGAGAGAGAGAGAGAGAGCCCAAATCTTCACTAGCTCCACCTTTCTTTTTGTTCCAACTTCTTCTTTTCTTCTTTTTTCTCAGCAGACACTGATCTTACAGGCTTCAACAAAAGAGGGTCAATTTCTAAGCAGTCTTCACTCCCTGGTGTTTATTCCTCCCCGCTCCCACCACCCAGCTTTGAGCAAGCAGGCAGGGAACAGAACGGCCTGGTGATGGAACTGCAGAGACAAAGGACAGAGGAGCAGGCTCAGGGGCTGCGTTTGAGTTTTGATTCAGGTCCATCCCAACAGCCAGCTTTGTAGACACACAGCAGATCATCTGAGATGCGCCATCACACACGTGCGCATCCTTCCTTCCTTGCTGTAAGCGTGTGCCCATCTGAGTGTGTGTTACCTTTCTCTCTGCATCTGTAACCCTCTGTGACCTCCTTCCTAGTTCTCTCCGGTTCAGGGAGAACTGCATTGAGGAAGGCCTTAAGAATCCCCAATGAGCAACAGACGAGCTACCACGAAAGCAAAGGGCGAGGGGCAGCCAGGTCCACTTGGGAGAGTCTTAATAGGACACACCGACTCTCAGAATCCTGCTCCGCACAGGGGGGGAGGGGGAGGGGGAAGCTTACAGAGGTGACTAGAGTGTACAGATGAGTGAATGACAGCTGGGAGGGCCACACAAAGACAAATGACAACAGCTGGACTGTACAGATCAACGACCAGTCTGGGCCAATGGCCACACCCGTCTAAACCCCTCCTGCTCAGTAGCATCTGCCACCCTGCCTGAAGCTCCCAACGGGTGATCAGTGAACACTGAGAGGCGCGGGGTGGGGAGTTCACACGTTGTAAGTCTTCATGGGTTTGTAGAGGGGCGGCAGCAGCCCGTGGTTCTCACGGACGATTTCCAGGTACTCGGATGGCGAGTCCAGAAAGAGGGATCCACAGCACAGCTGGCAGCAGCACTTGAGCCCAGTGACTTCCGGACTCTAATCAGACAGGGGAGAAAGGTCAAAATCAGTTACCTACGGTGAACAAGGCCCCGTGGTCAATTACTGCCTCTTGGTTCCCCCACCAGCCTATTCTGTGGACTTGAGAGCTCAGCAGGAAAGAGACAGTCAGATGGGGCACCAGCTAGCTCAGCAAGTCTGTCTGGTGCATCATCCCAAACGTAAGGGTTTAGCAGGACTCCCTCCAGGCATACTGGTCCACCTACCCCACCTGGATCAGTGGTCTAGCCTCCACCCTACAGAGCACCTACCCTCTCTGGATCAGTGGTCTAGCCTCTATTCTAGAGGACACCTACCTCCACTATGTCCTTCTGTTGAGTAGCACTCCGCACAGTCATGTACATGATGAAAACCAGCAACACGGTGATCAGCGTGGCGCAGGGGAAAGCAAAGACAAATGGCTGGAAGGCTGGGAAGGAGAGAGCAAAGTTAGAGGGCTGGATATCTGGAGTTGAAATGCTGGGTCGAGGGAAAGGGCATGTACTGCCAAGCTTGATGACCTGAGTTCCACGCCAGGCGTGAACACGATGGTGGAAGGAAATAGCTGGCTTCTCATCACTGTTCCCGGACTTCCACGCATGTGCTGTGGCACTCACACTCACACTCACATATCCAAGCACACACAGCAGCCAGGCGGCGGGGCCACATTCCTTTATTCTCAGCACCAGAGAGAGAGAAGCAGGCGGAGCTCTGAATTTGAGGCCAACCTGGTCTGTAGAGTGAGTTCCAGGACAACCAGGGCTACACAAAGAAACCCTGTGTTGAAAGGAAAGGAAAAGAAGGAAGGAAGGAAGGAAGGAAGGAAGGAAGGAAGGAAGGAAGGAAGGAAGGAAGGAGCACCCACAATAAATAAATACATAAGTAGTTTGTAAATATGTCAGGTTTTGTGTGTAAGTGTGTGGATATATTATGTGTGCAGGTATATAAGTGTGCACAGGCGTGTGTGTTTATGGAAAACAGGACAACTCTCAATGCTGTTCCTCGGATTCCTTTGGCTTTTTATTTGAAACAGGATCAAGGCCTCCACCAAGCAGGCCAGGCTGACCAGCTCCAGGGATTCAGCTGTCTCTGCCTCCTAGCTGTGTCCAGCTTTTTACACAGATTCTGGGGACCAAACTCTGATCCTCATGTTTGCAAAGTAAGCACTTTACTGGCTGAGCCCAAAATTCTGGCTCTAAAGAAGCAAGCACAATGGAGGTGAACACAGGCAAACCCCATTAGAGAAATTCTTCTCCCGTGTACATATAGTCTATTTCCACAGAAAAAAAAAACAGAACTTAATGAAAAATTCAAAAGCAACAACCTGGGGCTGGGGGGATGGCTCGGTGGTTGGCCACTTGCTGCACAAGTCTGAGGATCAGAGTTCAAATCCCCAGAACCCACATAAATCCCAGGTGGGCGCAGTGGTCTGCAGTAGTTCCAGCCATGGAAGGTGGAGACAGGATAACCAGAGCCAACAGGTGCAGAGTCTAGCCATGTTAGTAAGCTCTGGGTTTGACTGGGAGACCCTACCTCATTGAATAAGATGGAAGAGTGATCAAGAATGGTGCTTTTAAGGTACTTTTATTAATATTTCATTGTGTGTGTACACATGTTAGTGCAGTGTCCTTGAATGCCAGAAGAGAGTATCGGATCCCTCTAGACTAGAATTACAGACATTATGAACTCCCCAATGTGGGTGCTGGGAACCGAACTCAGGTCCTTAGCAAGAACAGTATGCACTCTTAACTCCTGAGCGGTCACTTCAGCGGGAGGATCATTCTTTTTATTTCTTTATGTGTATGATTGTTTTGCCTTTATGTCAACATGTATCTGGTATCTGTGGAGGTCAGAAGAGGGCACTGGATCCCCGGGAAATGGAGTTACAGATGACTGTGAAGCACTGTGTGGGTGCTTGGAAATAAACCTGGATCCTCTATAAGAGCAAGTGTTCTTAACTGCTGAGCCTTCTCTCCAACTCCCCAGAAGATGGTTCATAACATGAAACTCAGGCATCTACATGGGCTTCTAACCACACACCCCACCACACACACACACACACACACACACAGAGAGAGAGAGAGAGAGAGAGACAGAAAAATAAATAAAGTATGCAAATGTTTAAAAATATATCCATAATCTACTTGGCAGTTGTTAGGTCTCAAAGAAACAATGGACAAGCCTCACTCAGTGTCTGTGGCTCCCCCTTGTTCTCCTGGCATCCCTAGGCTCCTCTCAAAACCCCTCATCACGCTGGTCCCTAAGCCCCTCCCTCCCAGGGACTGGGCTTCCATGTCTCTTTCCCCAGCCTGATCCCTATAAGGCAACCATTTTGGTCACTTGATCTCTTAGCCCTGACTGCCTCTCTTGGTCAACGCTCCCCTCTCCTCTCATGGTCCAGTTTAATCTGCCAGCCATGTTCAGCCTGTACTGTTCTCGCTGGCTGCATTCTCCCTTCTATCTACCATAAAAATCTTCTCTGTGCTTTGGGAGCAGTCATATCATCCTTTCATTTCATTTCTTTTCTTTTTTAATTCAGTGATCTCTTCTCAGGGGCAGTTAAATTCCCTACCCCTGGCGTGTAGGCTGGACTCAATGACAGGTAGGTAAGAGTGAAGTTGTATGACTCCAAAGTCTACACGATGAACGAGAGAAGCCCTGGTGACATTAGTTCCTATGTCAACTGAATCAAACTGTAATCTATAGAAAACATATCTCTCTGGGTATTTCCATAGTCCCTGAGTGCTCTGGTCTAGTCAATGACTTAATCTCTTGATAGAGACGTACCCGAATACCATTACTGGGAGATGGTGGAAGGTGGGGGAGGGTCTTTGGAGGAGAGGTGATAGTTAGCTGTCAACCTGGCATGACCTAGAATCACCTGAGAAGACAGTATCAATTGAGGGTTCACCTAGATCAGGTTTGCCCATGGCATGTCTGTGGGGGGACTGTTTTGATTGTTAAATGAAAAGGAACAGCATGGGGACCTTGCGGAGGGTTGAAGGGGGAAGGGGAGAGGCAGGGAGAGGAGCAGAGAAAAATGTAGAGCTCAGTAAACAAATGAAAAGGAAGAATCCACCCTGAATGTGAGCGGCACGATTTCCTAGTTTGGGGTGCTAGGTTGTGTAAAAGTGAAGAATTCTGGGGCTGGAGAGCCGGTTCAGTGGTTAAGAACACTGGCTGTTGTTCTTCCCGAAGCCCCAGATTCAATTCCCAGCACCCACATGGCAGCTCACAACTGTCTGTAATTCCAGTTCCAGGAAATCTGGCACCTTCACACAGACATACATGCAGGCAAAAACACCAATGCACATAAAAATGAATGAAGAATTCTCTACTTGTGTGTGGATGTGATGTCGACTCACTGCTTGAATTCCTGCCTTGATGTTTCTCAGTGATGGTCTATACCCTGGACCTGTAGGCCAAATAAACCTCTTCCTTCCCAAGTTGCTTTTGATCACGATTTTATCACCACAACAGAGATGAAAGCAGGACATTACATCACCAAGGACATGAAGGCTGTGTTTTGCTCTGGCTCCTTCCTGTATCCCCTCTGCCTACTTCCTGTCAGCCATGAGGTAAGTTGCCCTTTTCTCTGATTCCTGTCTATTGTGAAGAAGTTCCCTAGTCACCTACTCCCACTGGTGACCATGATGTTTTGCCCATGTTCACGGAGCCAAGCAACCACGGAATGAACTCTCTGATCCTTTCTCTCAAAACAATGCCAGTTGTTTGGTCAGGAATTTAGTTGGCAATGATGTAGAAATAACTGACACCAGCCCCTTCTAAGCCATGCTGTGCCTTTGCCCTACCTGGCAGTTCTGGCCTCACCCACAAAGCCTCTTTCCAAGAAAAGCTTGGTGGAGTTGGACGAGGTTGGTGCTTGTAGTTAGGTGGTCATGGGTTCAAATCCTCACTCTGAACATGCTACGTGAGGCTCATTCCTACCTGAGACTGCCAAGGGAGAGCGATGTGGTGAGGGGTGAGAATGTGCTGACTTGGCAGCTGATCGCTCTTCCTTCACCATCACGAGGCTGCTTCCCAAGAAAAGGTGATGTGCGTGAGTGTGTGTGAGTGTGCGTGTGCAGACATGCTTCCCTGTGGAGGCCAGAGGTCAAAATCTGCTATCTCCCCCAATTGCTCAGTACGCTCTGCCTTGTTTTTCAGGGTTCATGTTTGTTTTGTTGGATTTTTTTAAATTTGCACTTATTTAATATTTACTTAGTGTGTGTATGTGGGGGGGAGGGAGGGAGGGAGAGAGGGAGAGGGAGAGGGAGAGAGAGAGAGAGAGAGAGAGAGAGAGAGAGAGAGAGAGAACAACTTTGTAGAGTTAGTTTTCTCATTTCACCATGTCCTTCCTGGGACTAGAACTCAGATCCTCGGGCTTAGTGGAGATCTGCCTGCCTCTGCCTCCAAAAGCCACTGAGTCATCTTGTCAGTCCATTCTTATTTGGGTTGTTCGTTTGAGGCAGGGTCCCACTTGGTAGCCCTGGCTAGCCTGGAACTTCTCCATAAACCAGGCTAGCTTTGAACTCACAAAGCTCTGCCTGCTTCTGCCTCCCAAACATTGAAATTGTAGGTATGCACCACCACACCCAGATTCTACCGTATTTATTTATTTAAATAGGGTCTCTTACTGAATTCGGCTAGATTGACTGTCCAGGGAGCCCTAGAATCCTCCTATCTCCACATCCCTGCCCATAGTACTGGGGTTACAGACCCAGGTTGCTGCATCTGCTTTTATGGATTCTGGGGATCGGAACTCGGGTCCTCAGACTTGCACATCCAGCATTTTACCTACCCATGGAGCCATCTCCCCAGCTCTGGGCCAGTATCTTCTCCATGGGGTTCTGGACACTCACCAGAGCATGTTGGAGCCAGCAGAGCCCAGGGGACCCAATGGTCCCTGAGGTCATTCAGGGCCTGGGTTGGGGTAGGGTTCTCGAGGTTCAGAAAAAAACCAGAGAATAGGGGGGCAGATGATGATGATGATGATGATGATGATGGCAATGAGTAAGTGGGAACACGTGGGAGCTGACTTCATTGTTACTGTCTAACCATGCTGATGTTCATGGGGTTGGTGGGAGCTGTGTGACTAGGTTGGTAGAGTGTTAAGGACTGTATTGGCAGAATTTGGTGCTGGCGGTGGTGCTGGGCTGGGTAGAGTATTATAAATAGTATTTAGTAGGGGTGATGAAGCTGATAGAGTGTTAGGGATAGCATAATGGAATTTGGTTGTGGCACTGGTGTTGGTAAAGAGCTGGTGGTGGTGTTGATGGAGTTTGGTGGCAGTATAGAGGTCAGTAGAGTGAGCTGGCGTTGGTAGAGTTTGGTAGTAATGCCTAGAGTGGTAGAGTGTTAAGGATGTTTCTGGTGGTGTTCGGTGTTGGTGCAGAGGTTGGTAGAGGGCTGGAGATGGTGTTGGTGGGGCTGGGGTGGCAGAGTGTTGTTGATGGTATTGGTGGAACTTATTGCCTCTGCTAAGGTTGGCAGGGTATTCAGGATAATAATGGTGGAGTTTGGGGTTGGTGCTAAGATTGGCAGTGTTGATTGTTGGTGGAGTCTGGTGAGGACAATGTTGGCAGAGTTGGTGGTGGTGGTGGTGGTGTTAGTGGCTTTAGCATTTGGTTATTGAAACAGGGGCTGTTTCTTTACCCAGGAGAACTACTCACGATCTTAGGGCTGGCGGAGTCAGTTCTCGATAATCGGCGACCAAGCGATTGGCCGATCACCAGAGGTGGTGGCAGGCTTTTGATACCTATTAATGGCACTGCAGCAGAAGGCAAGGTGTCACTTACTGGAGGGCCACACCTGAATCCTGTGGAACTGGTTTGCCCTGCTGATGGCATTCTCAGCTCGGAAGATGAAGCAGTAGTCCCCGGGGTTCTGGAAGACGTGGGTCACGTTCAAAGATGTGCCGGTCACCAACACAGGGTGGCACTCTCTGTCCTCCACTGGGAGACATTCCGGCTTGAGGCCCCAGCACACCTGCAGAGGGGGGCTACAGAGGAGCGGGTACACATTTTCAGAAGTGGCTTGTGACCAAGCCCAGCGAAGGTGACAGGGCAGAAACCTCAGAGTCCTTTCCATACGGATACCAGGCTGCCCTGGTCCATGTGATGGTTCATCTTTAATAGGACTTAGAATCACCATGGAAACAAACCTCTGGGCATGTCTGCGACGGGGTTTCTAGGTTAGGTTAATGAAAGTGGGAAGTCCCACTCTGAATGTGGGTGGCACCATTCGATGGGTTACGGTCCTAGATTTAATAAAAAGGGAAAAGCGGGTTGAGTACTGGCATCCATCACGCTCTGCTTCCAGACTGTGGATGTTATGTGGCCAGTTAGCTAAAGGTCCCTCTGCTCTGCCTCCCCACTATGAACTGTGAGCTGAAATAAACCCTTCCTCCCTTCGGTTGTTTTCATCTGGCATTGTGTAGCAAGGAAACGGTTAACTAATACATCTCAACATCAAACACTCCAGATACAGGAAATCAAAAATATGAAAGAGCTATGCCCAGAGTTCTTCCCCATTTCATAGCCGCAGGGCAGAACAGTAGCATGCTCGCACGAAACCCAAGCTCTTCAAGGGAAAGAGCAGGATCTTTCACGTCACTGGAAGTGTGGAGAGGCCACAGAACACACACACAGCACTCTGGGGGTTCACTCACCTCCCGAGGAAGTTCAGGCTCATTGTCAGCTTTTGGAATGTCTGCAAGAGGGTGGGCGCCGAAATCTGGATGCCTTGAAGGGCCTCTGTAAGAAAGGAGGAAGCCGTTAGACCCAGTGGCTGAGGATCAATACAAGTTGCACAGCCCTATGGTTGCATGGCACCTCCAGCCACTCTCTTACCCACGGTCACTAAGCCATTGACTATGCCAGATGAAAAGCGCCAGCCATGAACAGAGGCAAGGAAATCCTCTCAAGGGCTGGAGAGACAGCTCTTTGGATGTCCTAGTTAGTTAACTGTCAACTTGACACAGCCTAGAGTCACCTGCTGTACTTCCTTGACACGAGTTCCTTGGTTGGAGGGAATGTTGTGTGGAATAGCAAGTAGGCCTGCCTTCAGGTTCCTGCCTTGAGTTCCTTCCTTGACTTCTTTCACTGATGGACTGCAGCCTGGAGTGTAAGCCAAATCAACTTTTTCTTCCCCTGAGTTGTTTTTAGTCAGAATGGGCTTTTTATAGTTGTTTCTTTCGTTTTTGTTTGTTTGTTTGTTTGTTTGTTTTTGAGACAGGCTTCTCTGTGCAGCCCTTGTTGTCCAGGAATTTGCTCTGCAGAGCAGACCGGTCTCAAACTCAAGAGATCTGCCTGCCTCTGCCCCGAGTGCTGAGAGTAAAGGCATGCACCTCCACCGCCTCGCTTGTCAGAGTGTTTTATTACAGCAAGGGACCAAACCGGAACTGCCAATAAAGTGTAGAGCTGCATTTCCCCCCAGCACCTAAAAAACTGCTGGGCACGGTGACATCTGCTTGGAATCCCAGTGCTGCTGGGGCAGAGGAGATGTGTGCATCCCTGAGAGTCACTGGCCACCCAGACTAACCTACTAGGTGAGCTCCAGGCCAGTGACAGATGCTTGTATCAAGAGAAGGGTGTTGAGTCAGGAGTGGTGGCACACTCCTTTTATCCTAGCACATGGAGGCAGCGGCAGGCCAATCTCTGTGAGTTCCAGGCTAGCCAGGACTACACTGTCAAAAATGATTAATTTTAAAAAGGTGGATTGGCATCTGAAAACTCAAGGTTTTCCTCTGATCTCCATGTGCAAATGCATGTATGTGTATACTCACCTACACACGCACGTGCACACACACACACACACACACACGTTACACATGAACTTGGGTGGACATGCACATCATTCACGCACCCTCACACCCACCTATGCACACATACGAAGAAATCTCTGAAAACTGACCAACACCAGGTAGCTAGACTGAGGCTTCCCACCCTCCCAAGCCAGCTTTGATCTGAAACTGACTAGAGAACAAGGACCATCAAGGACCAGCTCCCTAGTGGTAGGTGTCTGGTCAAGCTCAGATTTGGGGGCAGGATAGCCTGAACTCAAATGCCAGCTCTGCTAAGGACTGACTGTGTGACTCTGTCTGCGGCCTTGGGTGGACTCTCCCGAGCAGACATGAACAGTGAAGATGGCTCCAAGAATATCCATGTAGTGCAACCCCAGGCTAGCCCAGAGTCACATGGATCTGGAAGGATTGTTGTCTGGGGGCTCCTCAGCTACAGCCAACCTGGAGGGAGACCTACCCCGAAGCCTTAAGGAAGCCGAGAAGTCTCCGCTCTTCTGCACGATGCCCTTCGTGGCATCCGGCTTTGTTTGCTCCCATTCTGCCACCACCCTGACCTTCACTGTGAAGGTTCCGGCATTCGAATAGTTGTAATAGGCCACAGGGTTGTCGGTTATCAGCAAGGTCCTACAAGAAGACGAGGAGAAGGGATATGAACGCAACCATTTCCCCTTCCAGGAATTCGGAAGCGCATCCAACAAAGCATCATGGAAGCACCTGTAGCTTCAGCGTTTGAGAGGCTGAGGCAGGATCTTAAGTTCAAAGCCAGCCTGGGCCACACAGACAAGCTTTGTCTCCAACGTGGAAACAAGCAAAAACCAAAACCCGTAGCTTTTAAATTTAAAGTTGTTGGTTCTAGCTTTCTATGTTTGTGCTTGTTTGTTTTTGACTTTTGAGGTAGAGGCTTATGAGCCCGGGCTAGCCTTAGACTTGCTCTGTAGCCCAGGCTGACCTTCATGTTCTGATACTCCTACCCACACCCCCCAAGTGATGGAATTAAAGGCCTGTGCCCCCATGCCAGGATCTCATCCTTTCTTAGGGTGTGGCAGATTTCTCAGTGGTTAAGACCACACTCTTGCAAAGGACCTGAGTGCAGTTGGTTCCCAGCATCTATGCTGGGCAGTTCACAACCGTCTTTAACTCGAACCCTGGGGGACCTGTCACTCTCCTGTGGCCCCCATGGGCACCCGACACTCATCTTCACTTATCCATACTCAGACATGAACACACACGCATTCGTGTGACTACGAAAAATAAAAACAAATCTAGAAAAGAAACCAAGAACAATTCAACCAATCGAGATTTCTTTTGGGGTTAAGCCCTTTAAACCCCTCAGGATCCAGAAAGATTCGCTACAATGGGCAAAAACTGGCTAGGGAAAGGGATCTGAGGGGCAGACCGAGCTGACTGACTCAAGCCTGTTACTCAGGCTTGTTTCTTTATTCCTTGGTCGATAAGAAAAAAGGGAAAGGCGAGGAGAAAAGAAGGGCTGTTCTCCACAAAGCTTTTGGTTTATGTAGGCATGCAGACAAGTTAGCAGGCCCGTAGGCGGTAACAATAGTATCAAACAGACATTTCACAGAATCACAAAAACCCGGTGGATCCGACGAGGAGGCGCCTTACGGCTCCGAGGGGGCGTGGCTGTGAAGCTCCCCGGTGACTGGGAACACAGCGTTGGTAGCCATAGCAACCTGTGGGCTTGATTTGCATTAGCGTCTAGCTGGTTGAGTTAAAAGGAATCTCTTTGGGGGACTTTGCTTTTGACTCCAGCAAGATGCTCAGGTGAGAATTTTTCTCTCTGAAGCTAGTTTTAGCGACTCAGCCTTCTTCCTGTATAGACAGTACAAAAGACTATGATCTTATGCTAGCTGAAGCCAAGGTGAAGGGTGATGCACAATATTAGTAATTTGTTTAGAGCAGGGGCCAGCAGATTCCTCCTTCCCGAGTCTGCTGCTAGCCCCACCTCCTGTCTGGGGCTCCTTATCAGTGAGTACTGTCAATAAAGTTGTGGGGGCCTAGTTTTATGTAGATTTTTGGCTGTGAGAACAAAGGTTTGACTGAGTGGATGCTTTCACACCAATGCTTCAAGGTGTGGGGAAGGTATCGGGTTGCCCTACAGGAAAAGTCAGGTTTACACTGCCGGGATATCATAGAAAGGAGAAATGCCATGATTCCACAAGGTTTCTACTGAATTGACAGTGAGGTGTTCCTGCAACTCTGCAAAACCGGTTCTTTACAATATTATATATATATTGAATTTGTCTAGTGATTTGTCAGCTGCACTTTTACTGTATAATACTTGTAGGCTCACATCTGAGGTTAATAAGATGGCTCGGTGGGTAAAGTACTTGCTATCAAGCCTAATGGCCCGAGTTTGATTGATCCCCAGAACTCGTGTGGTGGAAAGAGAAAACTAACTCCCACAGGCTGTCCTCTGAATTCACACACAGGGAGAGACAGAGAGAGGAAAGATTTCTGTGTAGTTCTGGCTGTCCTAGAACTCTCTGTATAGACCAGGCTGGCCTTGCACTTACAGAAATCCACCTGCCTCCGCCCCTGCCTCTGCCTCCTGAGTGCTGGGTCTAAAGTGTGCACCACCACCTGGCAGGTTTTTTGGTTTTTTTTTTGTTTTTTTTGTTTTTTTTTTTTTAACAGAGTAAATAGCTGGTCATGGTGGCCCACATCCACACCTTCAATCCTGGAGGGGCAGAAGCAGGTATATCTCTGTGCATTTGAGAACATCCTGATCTGTATAATGAGCTCCAGGGCAGTCAAGGTTCTGTAGTGAGACCTTGGAGAGAGAGAGGGAGAGAGGTGGGAAAGGGGGGGGGGAGACAGACAGACAGACAGAGAGAGAGAGAGAGAGAGAGAGAGAGAGAGAGAGAGTAATGCATACCCGTCTCCGAAGTCCCATTGGTAGAAGAAGGAAGCCGACTTGAAGAAGTCGCTCGGGTCATGGAGGAGGAAGGAGAATCTGAGGGTTTTCTTGGTGATGTAGGAGTTCGGCCAAGACACAGAGGAATTTTGGGTAACGACTAGGTTTCCCACAAGTGACTCTGAGAAAGACAAAAGGAGAGTGAGTCTCAGAGGTAGGGAGAGCCTGAGCGTGACTTCGGGCAGGAACAAAGCAACCACTCCCTGGTTCATCGTCCTCCGACCTTCAGAACTACGGGCAGTGTGGGGGACCCCATAGATCCCTCAACGCAGAGACATCCCAGTCACCCTCTGCTGGCAGCGACTCACAGCACATGCCAAACGCTCAACCTGTGTCCCTGCCCCCACCTCCCTTTCACAATGACACTTCTCTTTCTGGCAAAAAGGCCACCCACCACGAAGAAAGGCATGGGCAGAAGGAGAACATGATGCCAACACTTGTAATTCCAGAACCTGGAAGGCTGGGACAGGAGGATCAAGAGTTCAAAGCCATCCTTGGCTACGCTATGAGTTGGAGGTCATCCTGGACTACATGAGACCCCGTCTCAAAACAAACCAATTTGCATCAGAACTGAACACATATAGGCTATTTTTGCTGTTGTTAATATTGTCTAAGAAATACAGCGTAACAACTACTCCTATGGGATTTATATTGCATCATACCCTGTGAGGCACAGGAAGGGGATTTAAAGGATATGGGAGGGGCTGGGAATGTGGCTCAGAAAATGGTCAATTGCCTAACACGCAGGAGGCTCTGAGTTCCATCCCCAACACTAAGAACATAGTGGAGGACTAGAGCTGGCGCTTGATCACAAGGACCAGAGTTCAGATCCCAGCATCCACAGGGATGGCTCACAGGACATCTGTGGCTGGAGCTCTGGGCTATCTGCTGCCCTCTTCTGGCCTTTCTGACAACTGCACGCATTCACGTTAGCAGCGTTTATGGGCTTAGTTACATAAATTCTGAGCTTGCATTACTTCCTATATAATTTGTCAAGCATGGGCATTTTCACTCAGGACATCACAGCTCACCTGAAGGGTTATGATTAATAATTGCATAAATTGGTACTATTGAGATGACAACCATCTCAATAGGTAGAGGCACCTACCATTGAGTCTGACGGTCTGAGTTCAATCCCCAGGTCCCACAGAGAAGAAATAGAAAATCAACTCCTGTCTGTTGTCCTCTCACCTCCACATGGACACCATGGCACAGGTACCCACATACATGTACACCCTCACTAAATAAATAAATGTAGTAAAAAAAAAACACTTTAAAATACTTATATACATTAGCTGCGTGTCATAGCATATGCCTATAACCCCAGCACTGAGGAGGCTGAGGCAGGAGGATCTTCTTGACTTCAGCCTGGGCTCTCTAACAAGACTCCTTCCCTTCCACAACTCCTGAAAAAGGCACACAAATTGCTTCAGGGTCTTTAATCAGTCCCCTAAGGGTTGTGTATCTCTCGTGTTTATATCCCGTTTTCCCTATTATCACCATCTTGCGCATCAAGCATCACCCAGATGAAGGCTGATTTCTTGAAGGTAAATTCATTTAGACTGTGAGCCCCAGGTGGGTGCTGGGATCTGGACTCTGGACCTCTGCCGGAGCAGCAAGTCCTCCAAACTGCCAAATCGTTTAGTGTGTGTGCCTGGTGCTTTAGGAGGCCAGAGAAGGTTATGGATCGCGTTGGGCAAGAGTTACAGGCAGTTGTGAGCTGCCATGGCAGGGCTGGAAATGGAACCACAGTAGTCTTCAAGAGCAACAAATGCCCTTAACCGCTGAGACAACTGTCCAGTTCTTTCTTTTAAAAAATAAAATGATCTAATTACATTTATCTAATTTATTTATCTATTTATTCATTGTGTATGCGCATGTGTGTGTGTGTGCCTGTGTGTGCAATCACGCCATGATATGAATGTCAAGGTCAGAGGGTAACTTGCAAGAGTGGGTTCTCTCCTTCTACCATGGAAGTCCTGGGGATTGAACTCAGGTCCTTTGGCTTTGCAGCAAGCACCTTTACCTGCTGAACCATCTCGCTGACCCTATTTTCTGACTCTTTTTTTTTTTACTTAATTAACAACCAAGAAACAATCCATGTTTATAATTTGCCTTTGTTTGATTACTGTCAATTATCAAGGCTGGATTTTTTTTTTCTGCACCAAGAGCTTGAGAGCAGCAGAGATGGCTCAGTTGGTGAAGTGTTTGCTTTGAAAGAATGAGAACCTGAATTTGATCCCGCAAACTGACATTTTTCAAAAGAGCTGGGCATGGTGGTGGATTGCATTTAAAATCCTTCTGCAGGATATTTGTTTAACTATGTAAGGATGTGTTGCTGTTTTACCTTGCCTGCCTATGGCACCTGACTGGTCTAATAAAAAGCCAACCAGCCAATAGTGAGGGAGAAGGGCTAGGCGGTACTTCCAGGCAGGGAGAGTAAGGAGAAGGAGGAATTTAGGTTTGGGGAAGAAAGAAAAGGAGATGACAGGAAACCACCAGGGAGATGCCAGGGGCCAGACAGACAGGGAGGAAGCAGGAAAGTAGGACATACAGAATGAAAGGTAAAAAGCCCCAAGGCAAAACACAGATGAATAGAAACAGGTTAAAGTTAAACGAACTAGTGGAACAAGCCTAAGCTAATTACATTATAATTAGTAACAAGTGTCTTTATTTGGGAGCTGGTTGTCGGCCCAAAGAAAATGCCAACTACATAATCCCAGTGCTGGGGCTTAATGACCAGTCAGCCTGTCTAACTGGTGAGCTCACCAATGAGAGACCCTGTCTCAATCTAAAAGGGTGGATGCAGCCTGAAGAACAATGCCAGAGGTGCTCTCTCTCTCTCTCTCTCTCTCTCTCTCTCTCTCTCTCATATGCACGCACGCATGCACGCACAAGAACATAGAACATATACATGCAAACACACATGCATAAGACTTGAAAGCAGGCCTGGTGGTGTATTGCAGTGGTAAGCTCTTGCACAGCATGTTCGAGGCCCCGGGTTGCCCAACATGAGAGAGTTTTGAAAGCAACTAAGTAACCAAGAAAGGCCCTCAGAGAGCCTCACCTTTGATGGGGAGGACCAGAGCACTCCTGGCTAAGGGCTTGCACATCCAACAGTCGACAGCAGTGACCCAGACAGTGATTGGAAAGTCCCCAGGCCCGTTGCCCACCACGTGGATAGTTGAGGTTAGATTCTTCTCGGTCTTGGCAGTGAGGATTAGTGGCGCGTGGATCCAGTGGAAACGGTAGAGGTGGGCGTCTGCAGGCAGGGACAGGTTGCCATTGTCCTTGACCACCAGGCTGGCTGAGATGGTCACTTCTGTGCCAATGGTAGCGGGACCATCAGTAGTAAGACTAAGATTATAGAGACCTAGGAGACACATGCAGGCCAGGTTTCAGGAAGACAGTGAGGAATCTTTCAGCAACCTTTCCAGTCATCAATGACAGCAGTGGGGCCAGCAAGATGTCATCACATCAAATCTGATGACATGAGTTTGATTCCCCGGTCAAAGAAGAAAGCCAACTCCCCCAAGACTTCCTCTGCCCCCTTCAAATAAATGTAGCATCACAGAGTGTCTCTATTTATTTACAGGGGATCCTTAACAAGACCCTGTCTTGATGTCCAGACCCACAATATCCAATGTTTTCATCCTTGTTCATTCGTTAGCCCACTCATTCACACATACGGTTCATGGTGAACTTCAAATCAGGCACCATAAGAGATTAACAACAGTAATAATAAAATGGAACCAGCTGGGCGGTGGTGGTGCATGCCTTTAATCCCAGTATTTGGGAGGCAGAGGCAGGCGGATCTCAGTGAGTTCAAGGCCAGCCTGATCTACACAGTGAGTTCCAGGACAGCCAGGACCATTACACAGAGAAACCCTGTCTTGAAAAACCAATCAACCAACCAACCAACCAAACAAACAAACAAATAAGTAAAATTGAACTAAGATTGGAGGTGTATGCCAGTAATCACAGCACCAGGGAGGCTGAGGCAAGAGGATTAAATGTTTGAGTCCACCCTGGGCTACATAATGATCGTGTTCAAGGCTGGTTTGGGCTAGATAGTGAGACTCCAGCTAAAGAAACAGGACAAAGCTGGGCTGTAGTGATTCATGCCTTTATTCCCAGCATTCAGGAGGCAGAGGCAGGCCTACACATTCCAGACTGGTGTTGAACTTGTGGCAATCCTCCTTCCTCCCTGTCTAGAATGAGCTGATACAAGCTCATGCCACCACACCCAGCTGGGCTCCACTCATTTCACGAAGACCCACGTTCCCAACCTAAGTCCCTGAGTGGGGCTCATGTCTTCTTAGACATTTATATAGCAAGCAGTGTGTATTCCCTTTGTATTCTGTCTGCCCTGTAACCAAATGTAACTAAGTGTAAATTAGCCTAATGTTACTGCTTGCATCTACTTAAATCAAGCTTTATGTTTCTCAGGCACTGCACCACCATCACCACCACCATCATCACCACCACCACCACCCTTCCACCCTCCCATTTCCACCACTCCTCCCACCCCCCGTGTTTAACAACAGTGTTGTGGCTAGTGGTCAGTCTTCCGCAGGCACACAGAATACTTCTGTTTGCCCAGAACTCTATCTATTTCCCATCAGTGGTCCCTCTGAACGTTTGCTCTCTCTTCACTTCTTGTCAGGGTAAAAAGAGCCCGCTGGGGTCAGCTGGGGGCTGGGTATATAGCTAAGTGGGTGGAGTGCTTGCCAGGAGTGAAGGAAGCTCTGGGTTCCAGTCCATGAATGATGGTGACAAACACCAATAGTCCTGGCACTCTGGAGGTGGAAACAGGAGGTCCACAAGTTCAAGGCCATCCTCAGCTACATGGTGAACTTGAAACCAACCTGTGCTATAGAAGTGTTTGTTTAAAACAAAACAGAACAAAAAGCCAGCTGTCCCAAACACCAGCCACGGGTCTCTGATTTTCTCTTTCCTGGCACACCTCCTGCTTTACGTCACCATCCTATCCCTTTTCCAGGGACCCCCCTCCCCAAGTGCAGTCATCTGTATCTCTGCTCCTGGCCCTGATCTACGCCCCACCCCTTCTTGCCCCAGCAAGCTTCTAACATTTGATCTAATGTAGTCACAAACCTTCCTTTGGGGGCTAGATTCACAACTGGGAAACTTTCCCCTGGCAGCCAGCCTCTTTAACTCTTGCGGTTCCAGAAGGCACACAGTGGCACACACCTTTAAACCTAGCACTCAGAAGGCTGAGGCAAGTTTGAGTTTGAGGCCTGTGAGTTTGAAGCCAGCCTGGCCTACATAGTGACTTCCAGGCCAGGCAGGGCTACATAGTGAGTCCCTGTCTAAAAAAATAAAAAAATTCCCAGTACCCAGGATGCTGGATCAGTGGGGAACAGCACTTGCTGCCAAGTCCTGATGACCTGCGTTTGATCCCGGGATATGCAAACATTCTGCTGAAAATAATAATAATAATAAAAAAATCTAAAAGTAAAAAGAGTGCCCGTTCTACCTTCGGTCCTACAGTACGTCTGTAGGAAGTTTTCTCATGCCCTGACCCCGCAATGCTCTCCTGACAGACTGGGCCCATTACTATTGCAACCACACTGAACGGAGACTTCTCCTCTCCCAGTGTGCTCTGAATTCCTTGAGGACAAGGGTCTCCTGCATCTTTATTATGCAAACAAAATGTTTACCGTGTAGTAAGGAGCCAGAGACATGGCTCTGTGGGGACGAGGACCTGGGTTCAATCCCCCAGACCCATGTAAGCAGCAGCCAGGCATGATGAGGTATACCTGTCCCTGGACTGGAGGAGGCAGGGACAGGAGATCTTTGGGGCTTGCTGGCCAGTCATTCTAATGGAATCAGTGAACTCCAGATTCTACTGTGTTTAAATTTTATTAAAACTATGATTTGGGCCTCTAGGTCACATTAGCAAAAACCCAAATGTCTATATCACAGCCATGTGTTATTAGTGGTCAGCATGAGGCTGAGCCATACATAGGCGGACAGCATCTGAGGAAGACACCCCAGGTCTCCCTGTCACCTCCAAATACAGGGGCACATACATGAATGCATGTGCACCATCGTGCATACCCATGCATGCCCACAAGCACACATACACACATGCACACACATGCCCCCTCCACATGGCCACGAGTGTGCATGCACGCACTCACACACCCACAAGTGTGCACACAATACACACATGCACACATACATGCACGCACACACACGTGCCCCACGAGTGCACACACCCACAAGCGTGCACACACATACCTACGTGCATACACACATACTCATCTACACACATATGCATGCACACACACATACACAAACCATATGGTAAGGGGTCGGTGGGACTTCTGAGTCACATGATTACCTGGAAAGGAAGATGTGGCACACAGTCCAGGCCACCTGACACTGTTGCAGAAGACCATTCACCTGGGGACTACTGTCTGCACCCTTTCTGTGTACCCCACCCCCACAGGTGCCGGCGTTACCTAGCATGGACATGTTCCTCTTCAGGATGAGTCCACAGGATACCTGCTGGAGTCTTCAGCAAAACCAGGAGAACGTTCTGTGTGCAAATGTGCCCGTTTATCTCACGAGGACTTTGGCTTCAGTCTTTTCTATTGCTCTGCCCCCTGGTTCCTATTATGAATCCCTTTTTTTTCAATCCATGTGTTGAGTTATAAAGCTGTTTAAGCCAAAATGCTAAAGGCATAGGCCACTACTGCTATCCAAGATACCATGGGTTTGAAGGTTAATATGGTCACCGTGGTGTGGTTTAGTTTAGTTTAGAGACAGGATCTCTCTGTGTAGACCAGGCTGGCCTCGAACTCACAGAGATCCATCTGACTGTATATGCAATATGACCAGCTGCCATGGCCCCTGCTGCCATAAATTCCCTGACACGATGGACTCTATTTTTGGACACTTATTTATCATTTTTGGGAAGGGATGCATGTGTGTGTGTGTATACATGCGTGTGTGTGTGTGTGCTCTTGAACATACATGTGCATGTATGTATCACAACGGGCATGTAGCAGGGGCGTCAGTTTTCTCCATCTAACATATGGGTTCCAGGAACCAAATTCAGATCTTCGCCTTTGGCAGCAAGTGCCTTTACCCTCTGAGACATCTCTATAGCCCCAATTCCTATTTTGTCGTAGCATTCAGGCAAGCACGCAACACAAAAAGAAAGGGCTACTGTTGCTATCCCCCGGGGTTTTTTGCCCTCCCTCTAGTTGGCAGGCAGCACATCTCTTTCCTCAAGGGCTCTTACCTGTCGCCCCTCCCCCTCCACCCAGCCCCTTCTTCCTCCCACTCAAGTGGAGGAGGAACAAGGACCAGAGCGAGGCTCTAAGGTGGCGGGGACACTAAGCTGCATGTTAATTGTCATCCTGCATCTGCAGTGAGACTGGGCTGACGCAGATCGGTTGCCATGGAAATGGAATCAGGGGGCAGCTGGCTGGAGCTGGGAAGAAGGAGGACCCACTGACGATACTGTTGCAAATGGCTGCCTAGCTCCTAGGAATTCCACCTGGAATTCTTCCTGCCTGGAAGAGACCACAATGGTCTAAAAAAAAAAACCCAAAAAACAAACAAAACAAAAACCCCCCAAAACCCAAAAACAAACAAACAAACAAACAAACAAAACCCCAGAAAACCAGAAGCTGGACTAAAGTGATGGCTCAGAGGTTAAGAGACATTGTTGTTCCCATAGGACCTAAATTCAGTTCTCAGCCTCTACTATGGACAGCTCACATCCAGATCCTGGGAGTCTAATGTCCTCATCTCGTCTCTACAGGCATTCAAATGCGTGTGCACATACACTCACAATGATAAATGTGCATGCACATAAATAAAAATAAATTTAAAAATTAAAAAGAAATTAGAAACAGAAGCTGCACCAGGCATGGTGGTGTACTACGTCTTTACTGCACCTGAGAGGCAGAGGTATGCCGATCTCTGTGAGTTCAAGGCTAGCTTGGTCCACATAAATGAATTCCAGGCCAGGTGAGGCTACATAATGAGGCCCCGTCTTAAAACAGAACAAAACACCACCAACAATAAAAACGCCCCAAACAACAACAAACTGGAAGCTGGGACTGGGAATAGAGCTCAGTTAATAGCGTGACTACCTAATGAGGTCCCGGGATCTATCCCCAGTACCTCATCAGGCTGAGTGTGGGGGCACACGTTTATAACCTCCAAAACTCTGGAGGCGGAAGCAGGAGGATTAGAAGTTCAAGGTCATCTTCAGACCAGGTCACATGAGAGCCTGGACCCCTCTGGGTCAAGGTGACCTCCTTCTTCCTCTGGGCTTTGGGAAGTGTCCAGGGTGTCCATGCTAAGATGGGCAGTGAAGAACGTTGCCAAGTGTGGCTGAAGGAACCAGAGCCAGAGCATCCCCTGTGATTCTGCTCATCCAAATTCATCTTTCACGTTTGGGAGCCCAGATGAATAAGGAGCATAGGCAGCCACCAAGGCAAGGGCTCGGAGGCACCCCAAAATGTGCTCATGTGACATAGAGCTAAGTGTGCCAAAACAGAAAGAAGGGGCAATTGTCTCAAAAGCATGGCCCCAGTTTTCCTACCAGGTTTCCAGGTTTTACTGTTTCCCCATGATGTTCTCCCTGGAACATTCTAGAAATGGCTACTGTGGCCTTTTCACACAGCACATGTAGGCAGTGAAAAAAAATTGTCAAGCACGTCTGTGATGGTCTACATAACACAAAAATCCACCTGTTTCTGCATCCCAAGTGTGTGCATGTGTATGTGTATGTGTGTGTGTGCGTGAGTGTGTGTGGGTGTGTGGATGACTGACTAGAGTGGCAACTCATGCTTCTAATCCCAGCACTGGGTAAGGGGAAGCAGGAGGGTGCAAGTTAGAAAACAGCCTGGGCAGTTCCCGAAGACCTCATGTCAAAATAGATATTGCCTGATATGATGACACACGCCTTAATCCCAGTACCAGGAGCCTGAAGGAGGACCTCTGAATTCGAGGCCAGGCTGGCTACAGAGTGAGTTCCAGGACAGCCAGGGTTATACAGAGAAATACTGCCTTGAGATAGATAGATGATAGATAGATAGATAGATAGATAGATAGATAGATAGATAGATAGATGATAGATAGATAGATAGATAGATAGGTGGAGAGAGAGGGATGGATGAGTGGGAGGGTTGGTGAGTGGGTGGAGGGAGAGAGGGATGAATGGGTGTGTGGATGAATGAATGGATAGACAGACAGACATATTTTATTGTGTATTTCTTATAATTTAAATCACATAACTTCTAGACATATAAGCCAGTGGATCAGGGTGTCCATTTCTAGATGACTTCTATGTTGAATTTCCAGGAGAGGGAGAGAGTGCAGATAATTTTATATATGCAAAACTCCCACAAAATCCTCTGATGCATGCCAAAAGCGCAGGTTGTTTTTTATTTTTAATTTACTTCGTGGCTCTGCCGTTCTCTCAGATCTGCACCAGCTCCCCTCTCCCCGCTCCCCCACCTCTTTTAATGGGCGGATGTGCGGTGAAGAATGATGCCTTTTTTTTTTTTTTTTTTTCAGCTGCTCACAACCCACCGGTCTCTGACAATTCTCGAATCTGGGTCGTTTGTTACTCCTAAAATGGGGTAGGAAGGTTGATGGTGGTCTTTTCATCACGGAGAGATGGGTCCTGGTGAGCCTGGGGAAGAATCTGTCGGCTCAAGGTCCCATTTTTTAAAAAATCATTCCCAGGGAGGAAATGGCAGACTGGCCTCCTCGGCTGTAGACTAGTACCTGCGCCGCCCCTAAGCCAACGCAATCACGGTGGAAATCTCTAGAAAAAGGTGACATCTTAAAGCAAAAGCGCCACCCCGTGCAGGCAATGGGGGGCGGTTCTCCCTGGGGGAGTCTGAGGCGCGATGACCTCTCTCCCAGCCCACCCGGGGTTCCCAGCATGCATCCATGCTCCCTGTCCCTCCCCCCCAGTGAGTACCAGTCCCACGCATCGGGATGGATGTGTTTCCCAGGGCAGAGTGCTGGAGGCAGGCATCGAGGGAGAGAGCAGGGAGACACCCCTAGTGCTGGGCGACTTCTGGGCAAAGGGGTGTCCAGCAGGGGTACGACGCCCCGAGTCATCTCGGTAGCTCAAGTTCCAGATAGCACTGGACAGCTCCAGGCAGGCTCTGGCTTACCTGCAGCCACCCTCGCAGGGCCTAAAGGCAGGAGGCAGGCGAGCCAGAAGACGAGGCGGAGGTCGGACCAGACATCGGCGGCCTTGGCCATGGCGCAGCGTGAATGCCGAGGGGCTCCGGGCGGATGCGCAAGGAGCAGGGCTGGAGCTCTGCAGTGGCGGCTCCGTACGGCTGTGCGGCTGTGCGTGGAGACGCAGCGCTCGACTATCCCCGCCTGCAGCCACCTCCGCCCACATAGCCCTCCCCGGAGCCCCAGAGTCCCTCCCCTCAAGGGATCACAGACGCCAGCCTTACTTCACCAGGTGCGCATGCTCTCTTCCCGCATCGTGCTTCTGTCGGATCCAGAGCCATCTTTTCAGCCCTGAGACAGGGTCTCTTTACTGAACCTTTAGCTCATCAAATTAGTTAGACTGACTATCAAGGAGCCCCTGGAGTCTGCCTACCTTCATTCCTCCCAGCACTGGGGTTGCAGATGCTCACCACGCCTGACTTTTACATGCATGCTGGTGATCCGAGCTCAGATCCTCATGCTTGTGCAACAAACAACTCACCAAGCCCCCTCCCTAACCCTTAATCTCTCTTACTGTGCTTCACTGATTTGTGTCCATTTTGTGCTTACAGAATGACTCCACTCAAACTAGCTACAATTCCTTGGGGATAGCCCTACTGATGAACGCACACTCTTGCCTCCTGGTGGTGGTGCACACCTTAATCCCAGCACTCGGGAGGCAGAGGCAGGCGGATCTCCGTGAGTTGGAGGCCAGCCTGGTCTATAGAGCAAGTTCCAGGACTGCTACTGGAAAACCTTGTCTCGAAAAAGAATCCAATGTACACACTTAACTGTTGTTGACTAGTTTTGCTTTGTTTTTTCTTTTTCTTTTCTTTCTTTCCCCCCCCCCTTTTTTTTAAGACAGGGTTTATTGTGTAGCTCTGACTATCCTGGAACTAGCTCTGTAGACCAGGCTGGCCTCCAACTAACAGAGATCGGCCTGCCTCTGCCTCCTGAGTGCTGGGATTAAGGGCGTGTGCCACCACTGCCCAGCTTGCTTTTGCTTTTTGAGACAGGTTTTCTGCTGGACATCTCAGGCTGGCCTGGAACTCATTTTGTAGCCATTGTGGCATTGTCTTCTTGGGAGGACAGCTATGCCCCTACTCCTCCTGAGATCCAGCCAAAGTTTCCCCTTGCATAGATGGAGTTCCCCTGACCCTGTTAGGCTTCCATAGTCTGTGCACTGTAGTACTTCCCAGGGCCACAAGCTCACAGACAAGGCAGAATTGCATACCATTGGCTAAAAGGTACAGGAGGCAGTGGTTGAGAGAACAAATGAGGGGCCAACGACCTTCCCCCATACTTCTCCTTCTATGAGAGAAGCTCAGCAGTCAATAGGCCCAATCTTGAGGGTCTCTGGCAAGTAGTTGCAGCTTCTCAGAAGAAGCTAGTGACTGTCATGCTCAGAGAACCAGGGACCAAGGATAGGTACGGCTAATAGAATTTCATTCATTTCAGCAGTGTTCTGTTTGGGCTAATATTTCTGGGTAGTAGAAAGTACATCTTTATTATCTATCTAATTCTATGTGTGTATGTACATGTGTGTGTGTGTGCAGTCAAACGCAGGCTAGTGTATGTGTGGAGGTCAGAAGATGACTTGCAGGAGTTGGATCACTCCTTCTATCACCTGGGTCCAGGGGATGGAACTCAGGTCATTAGGCTGGGCGATAAGCATCTTTGTCTGCCTAGTCATCTCATTGTCCCCCACTGACTTTTGTTAATGGTAGCCTTTTGAAAGCAGATTACTCTGTCTGTTGGTATTATCAAGGTTGTACAACTGAGTATCTGTTGGTCACAGATGGCAGAAACCCCAGGGTTCATATTCCTACTAAGGCAAGATAATGAAGCAGGGAAAATCTTGGTGAGGTGAGGAGGGGAAAGACACTATTTTGTCTTGGAACCTGGTTAAAATATCTTACCAGGAGAGAAGCAAGAATTTCTGAATGCTAATATGTATGTATGTATATATCACGTGTGTTCATACAGACACATACATCCATTAACTTAAAAATTGAGATTTTTTTTTGTTTTTTTTGAAACTGGGTTTCTCTGTGTAGCTTTGGAGCCTGTCCTGGAACTCGCTCTGTAGACCAGGCTGGTCTTGAACTCACAGAGACCCACCTACCTCTGCCTCCCTAGTGCTGGGATTAAAGGTGTGGGCCACCACTGCCCTGTTAAAAATGAGATTTTTTAAAAAAAACTCCAGCATGGTTAACAACTGCTTAAGGTCTGTGATAGAGTGAGTATGTATGGCCCCCACAGACTCACGTGTTTGAATGTTTGGCCCATAGGGGTGGGACTTTTAGGAGGTGTGGCGCTACTGGAGGAAGTGTGTCACTGTGGAAGCTGGCTTTGAGGTCTCATATGCTCAAGCTATGCCTCGTGTGCCACACAGTCTCCTTCAGCTGCCTGAGAATCAAGATGTGGAACTCTCAGCATCTTCTCCAGCCCCATGTCTGCCTGTGCACCGCCATGCTTCCCGTCATGACGATAATGAACTAAACCTCTGAATCTGTAAGCCGGCACCAATTAAACATTTTCCTTTGTAAGAGTTTCCATGGTCACGGTGTCTCCTCACAGCAATAGAAACCCTAGCTAAGACAAGCTCCTTTCCCAGTCTAAATCTGCAGTATTCAAAGATTCTCACCAGAAGGTTCATTTTTTTAGGAAGAAGACATGTACTATAAACTGTCTGAACCTTTGCAGCTTCTTGCTTTAGTTTATCAGATTATAAGGCCATCCTAGGCGTGTGCCGATCCATCTACCATCTCACTTAACAAATAAACAAGAGATGAGGGGTGTTTCTTAGTAACTTTCAGAAAGAAAGATTTAATTTTAATTTTATTTATGTAGGTGTGAGTGTGTGTGTCTGAGTCTCTCTCTCTCTCTTTCTCTCTCTCTCTCTCTCTCTCTCTCTCTCTCTCTGTGTGTGTGTGTGTGTGTGTGTGTGTGTGTGTGTGTGTGTGTGAGGGCATTGGAGTCCCTGAAAGATAAGTTACAGACAGTTGTGAGCAGCCTGACATGGATGCTGGGAACCAAACTCAGGTTTTCTGGAAGAGAAGTAAGTGCTTTTCTCCCGAGTCATTTCTCCAGCTCCTATTAGTGATCTTTTGAGAGAAGAGCCATCAAAATGGTCGATCTGGTCAATCCTAAGGCAGTTAACTGCTTATCCTCCGCGGACGAGTTCACACCCAGATGGACATAACTGTCTTTCTCTGGCTCTCCCTTGGGAATCACATACCCACATGTAAATGTGGACTCTTTCCTTCTAAGCACCCCTCTTTCTCTTAACCCTTTGGATGAAGCCTCGGTTAAAATAACCTTTAACAAAACCTCCAACTCAGGACAGCAGATCAAAACAGCGGGTCCAGGTTCTCATGGCTGAGCCTGGTGAATTTGGTCTCTGTGACCCACAGGGCAGAAGGAGAGAAACCTGCTCCTACACGTCGTACCTGTAGTTGTGTCTTGCCATGCCAGGTCACCATTCTGAATAAATGTTTTTATTTGTTTATTTGTTTACTTGCTTTTAAATCGGCTGGGTGTTGGGGCACAGACCTTCAATCCCAGCACTTAAGTGGGGACACAGAGGCAGGCAGAACTCTGAGTTCAAGGCTAATTTGGTCTGCAGGGTGAGTTCCAGGACAACCAGGACTACACAGTGAGATTCTGTTTCAATAAATAAATAAATAAATAAATAAATAAATAAAATAAAATAAAAGTGAAAAATCTTCAACTATACTTCGTCATTGTAATGAGCATAGTAGAAATGCCTTTTAGACATGTAAAAACATCTTAGGAACCCCATTATACCCTAAACTGATAACCAGAACCCAGTGATATCACTCACTCAGGATAACAAGGGTCCTAACCCCATGACCCCTACTGAACAGTATATAAGCAGAGACCAAGAGCAATGTTCTGCTCTGCACATCTGAAGAAATGCCACCTTGATCTGGCTTGTAGGTAGAGCGTCTCCCCCAGCATCCTTACCCTCGAATCAGAGACTTCTTTTAGAGGCTGGATCTGATCTTAAGCTAAGACGGTCAGAAGGTGGGCAGCCCTGGGGAGTTAGACTTAGGACCATGGTTAGGAATTTAGAGTGTGAACCCTGTGTAATGACCCTCAGCATAATAAAATAGAACTTTTGTTTTACTAACTATGCGTGTCTACCTTGTTGCTCACAACACGGGCCATGTAGCGCAATGGGAGGCACTGTCCCTAGGCTGGTGGGCCTGGGTCGCTGACCCTGAGCCCGGGAGCAAGTCAGTAAACAGCTTTCCCCCCAGGTGTTTGCTTCAGTTCCTGGCTTCAGGTTCCTGCCCAAGTCTGCCCTGACTTCCCTCAAAATAATCCAAATAAACCCTTTCCTCCCTAGGTGGCTTGTTGTCATGGTCCTTATCACAACAGAGAGCCTGGAGCATATCTAAGAACACACAGGCAAGTCGGTCGCCTTTTCAGTCCTTAGAATGAAAGGTCACATCCCAGAGGAGGGCAGTGAACTGACAGGAAGAGGTTTAAGAACCTCTTAACTTCAGGTTGTGCCCTCATGCAGTGGGGGACCGTCTTGTGGAACCAGAATCAAGGCACGGTTCAGGAGACAGCGCTTGATCAGAACTGTACTGTTCTGCAGATCTTGTCTTTTTACTTTACATTCAGTGCTTAAGTGTGCACTCTGCTCTTGCAGAGGATCTGAATTCAGTTCCTAGTACCCACATCAGGAGGCCTGCAACAGCCTCTAAGTGCAGCTCTAGAGGAGTCTGACAGCTCTGGCCTCTTTCCACACCGCATTCATACATACGTGGCTACATACACACACAAACACACACCATTTTTTTTTTAAAAAAAAGAATAATACCCACCCACCCCCCAAAGAAAGACCTGGAAGCTTCAACCACCTCTACTTTGTTTGTCTTCCTGCTCTAGGGAGTCCTTGAAGTTCTGTTGAACCACCTAAGACAGACACAATAATTTCTTACTGGTGACCTGCGTTGTGACTTTTGTAACCGCTGAGTATCGTCTGAACTGTCATGGTGCTGTCGAGGGACAGTTTGGCTGAGCAGCAGCCCCATGTCTGTAAAGCAGCATGGGGCAGAACTCATCCTCCCCTGGTCCCTGATGACTACTTGGCTGCAAACCTCTGGCCCCT